AATGCATTTGTCCACTGGCTGCGTCTCTCCTGTGTGATCCCACAAAGCGCAAGATGAAGAATAGCCCATCTTAAAATAAAGCAGGGACCTCTTTTCTTTGTCTCTGCGGTGCGGACGAAAGAAAGGGAAAATGCAATATTGATTAGAGTAATGTGTTTGTCATCGCTTGTAGCGTATCTCCTGCACCTGAGTACAAGAAACGAAAAAAAACAAGACGCTGCTCGCTAAGATAGCGTGCTTTAAAAGCATTATAAAGTGCTGGAACTAGAGTTCAAATGAAAGAAATCAATAGAAAATTAGTTGATTATGTTTTTTGTCCTGAAAGTCTACTGTCTGCAAGCTTAAAGTAAATTGAATTTTTTTAAATGGATATTTACTTAGAAATAATGTGTATTTACAAATTAATATTTTCAATTCTGTAGTACTGTAACTAAATGCTGTAGCTTAATAATTATACAAATTATAACTTACATAAGATCATACTTATTTCACTTTTACAAGAGTGAGTACTCTTTCAGTTATTTTTCTTTCTGTTTTAATGTATTATTTCTAAAGTATTTGTACATTTATGTGTTTTAAAGTGTTAACTGTACTTAAATAAATGCATTCAAATCAACCTACATGCTAATTTCATAATTATTTCACCTTATGCTTACAAGTATATCAGGTAAACATTCCTTTCTGAAAGTCTACTCTTAGCTACTGTTAAATTAATATTTATTTATTCATTTAGAACTCACTTGTATATTTGTACAGTTCTGAAATGTTTGTTTATTTATTCATTCATTTAGAAATTATTTGTACAGTTATAAATCTTTAAAATGTTTACTGTTCGTAAATAGATGGATGCGTCCTGAAATATAATAATTTCATAATTATTTCACCTTAGCTAGAGTACGTTTTCAGTTGTGAAAGTCTACTGTAAGCCGAAACATGCTTAGCTGTTTAACTTTCCTGTTGAATCTAAGCAGTGAGATCACTGTATGGTGGTTTTTCAATTAAATTTCACCATGGATTCCTGAGGGTTCCCAGCACCTGTGATGAATTTGGATTTTCCACACTGATATCAGGACTGAACAAAGTGCTAACGGTGAGGAAAAGAACCTTAAATGGATACATTTCTACCCACTGGGCAAATAGAGGATGATTCTCTCCTCATAAAACTCTCACATGCTGTGCCACTTCACTGACTGAACCATCACACCAGCTTGTAAAAATTGGGCCCATTATGAGACATAATTTATAACCAGGATCAAGCACTATTCACCGTCGTGCAAGGCACCTTTGAGGATGACAAATGACTCAAGTAGAGCTCATTTTAAAAGTTGCATACCTGAAATTTAGTCCTTTCCCGAAATAACAGTGAAGATAAATGAGGTGTTTTAATTAGCATAATTATAAAGGGCACATTTCTGTTGAGGTGGATTCATCCTCTTCACGTTACAATACTGCTCTATTTAGCATATGTAACATAATACTTTGAATTAGACTAGCCAAATTAATTAGACTCCTCATTTAACATGGCACTTTTTGATAAAGTCATGTTTCTTAAGTGATGTTGACACTTTAATTAATGTATTGATCTTATAAGGCTTTCGGTAATCTAAAAATTAGTCAATTTTTCACTTTGTCTAATTGTCCCACAAGACCGGGGGAAACAATCACTGTCAGCTCCTTTAATTTCCAGTGGCGTGTTTACTCTAAATATCATTACTGGCTATTGACAGTAGGCTCTATTGACAGTAGTTTGAGTCGTTTGAACTCGCATTCTCATCTTCAATAAGATTCCTTATATTTATTTATTTTATTTAGTCATTTAGCAGACGCTTTAATCCAAAGCGACTTACAAATGAGGACAATAAAAGCAGTCAAAACTAACAAAAGAGCAACATATATTATATATATATATATACATTATATAGGCTAATTCCTTTATTGGACTATTTGTATCAAGCTAAAATGTATGCACAAAAAAAAAAATATTCGTGTCCTTGAGCAATTACATTACACTAATACATATCTCTTTACAGTCGATCCACTTACACACTGACTGTACCTCGCAGCACGATGAACTCAAAATTAGTCTTTTGAAACCAGACACTGTTTAATGTGAATCTAGCGACATCTAGCGGTCATATACTACAGCACACATACTTGCACTATTTTTTTTATTCCATTTTGATAATATTATTAACATTAATATTTAATTTGAAGATTATTATTTCACTTGTTTATTTACACTATTGCTTTTTTTATAATTAATAATAATTATATATATATATATATATATATATATACACACACACAAAATAATGTATATATTTTTATAATTTACTTTGTAATATAAATCCATGTTACTTAAAATGTTAAGGATTACAAAGGGGGTTACATCTGCTTTTTTCCACACACACTCCCACATACAGATTTAATCAATTTCTTTCATAAATTGCAGTGACTACTCTAAAATATGAAACATCAATGTTTCAGGAGTTTAGAACATGCTTTTTTGATAACTCTTTTATTTCCTATATGGGTTTATGTATAGCTATGCTTTATTTTTTAAAGATTAACTGTTTTTTTCCCAAGGCATTGTTAGATTCCAGTGTTTACTGTCATAGCTATGTAAAGATTTGATGTCAAAAACAGTATAATAGCTAATAAAATATTTCTTGTTATGATTTTAAATATGTATTTAACCTCAGAATGATCTCAAAGTAAGTCTGACTTTGTGGTGGCTGTGCTTCAAAGGGGACATTGATCGTTCACAAGTTGGTATGATTCTTTAGGGTCTTCATGAATAGTCTGCAACATACTTCGGTTAAAATTCCTCAGTGGTCGTGTAAAACAACACCCTTTTGGCCTTGCTCTGTTCACATCGATTTTGGGGCATGTCCCTTTAAATGCTAATGAGCTCTGCTCACCCGCCCCTTTCTTCCGTGAAAGAGCAAAGGCGATTAGCAAATAATCATAAAAAACATAAAGTGTCAGACTTACTTCTGGAGGTGCAGCTGGATGACGAACAATGGGTACTGATCTATCCTTGAGTTTTAACTTTTTAACAAAACCT